TTCCCCTCACCCTTGACATGAGAGGCAAAAGGTCCTAAATGCTTCATCTATGCTCTGCTTTGTTACAAAACATAAATAGGTTGTTTGCAAAAAACAATAAGTAGAATGTAAAAAGATTGAAAAAAGCATTTCTGAATTAATCCACCAGCTAAGGCTGTTTACTGTGTGCAGGTAGCAGCCCGGGGTGGAGGGAATGGGAGGAGAGCAGTTTGCCGGGATGCAGGCGGAGTGCTACTGTTTGTGTTCCCCGGTTCCTGGCTTGCTCCACCTAGCTGTCCGCCTCTTGCTGGTTTCTGGAGATGGCTTGTAAACCGGTACCTGAGTTTCCTAGAAGCAAGTGCCAAAAGTTCCTAATTGTTAGGCACTCACAAATGTTTTATTTTGCCTTGTTTTTAGCAATCATTTTTAAAAAGTAAAATGTTTCATAATCTAGATTTTCAGGTTATCTGGAAAAATCTACAGTTCTGCTAGCACCAGACCTGCATTCTCACCTGGAGCTAAGGAGTGGTCATCTTTCACCTAGGGCATGTGACCCCCCAGTTTGTCACTGTTGTAGTACTTATTCCTGGCCCTCTTCAGTCATGAACGTTACCTGTCAGCTTTTCAGCATTTGACTTAGTGATCCCAGTGCTGGGGAGAAGGGACAGTCCCCAGCTGGTCATCTCCAGAAGTTAAAAGGTGATTATTAAGTATTCCCCTTTCCCCAGCTGTTACTGTGAACAGCAGGGGCCTGGGGAACGTCAGAACCCCAGGCTGACTTCCTCCTGCTGGAATGAACAAACAGGTTTCAGGCTGACTGCTACTCACCACAGGGGGAAAACACCCTCACTGCCAGCCCAGCTATTTTGATGCCCAAGCCTGTTTCACCTGTGTATGTAGTATCAAGTGGCTTCCAGAGCTTGGTGTATTTTTGTTTGTTTTTCAAGTTGGGAGTTGTCTTGAGGAAGAAGAAAAAGTCTTTCTCTTGACACTGTAGTCCCTGTGAAGTTCATGCTTCCACTTGTTCTTGAAATTGTAAACTTCGGGGCATTCATGGAATAAGTTGCTAGGCTTGGAAAAGTAAATGTTTGGGTCTAACTCCCATGCTGTAAATAATAATAATAATAATAATGATAATAATAAAAGAGCAGCATCTAGGGATTTTCTATTCCTCTAGCCTTTGTTCCATATTCTGAATTTAAGGTTAGGGGACAACAGTGTCCTATGGACACCATGGGGATGACTTCTAATAGCACAGACTATTACTCTGTTTTCTCATCTCACCCTGTATGGGAGGGAGGTGTATGGGAGCCCAGAGTATATTCTGGTGACCAGAATCACTTGACACCTATGTGCGAGTCCCACATCTCCCATTAATTTGAGAAAATCACTTAAGCTTCCTGAACCTCAATTTTCTCAAGGGAAGTGTGGGACTGTCAAGGGTGGAGCTAGTACATCTTCCAGAACTATCCCTTCTGCATCTGTGTCAGACATCACTAATCAATGACCGTGTTCTGAGCCAGGACACAGCCTCATCTTAACCCAGCCCTCGGGACAGCCACATTGGTAGATTAAATGATCTCTAAGGGCACTGTCAGCTTCAGTAATTAAAAAAAAAAAATGGAGTGAGCAAAGCCGAGGTGAAAAGCCTTCAAATGGTTTCTTTTGTGATCATGTCATTCTATGCCTTGGAGGAGAAGACAAGGTTATCTCAAGTTCCAAGACTAAAGTTTCACTGGGCCTTTTCCAAGCTGCTGTTCCTTTATTCCTTTGCTGAGCAGAGCAGTCAGGGAAGGGACAGGCATGCAGGTCTTGGGAACACACGCTGAATCTGTTACTCTACAGTTCATGTTCTTCTGGTGGGGATTGCTACCTGAGAGCTTGGGTTCCCAGGTCTAATTGTTTAAAAACAACCCCCACCTGCTTTTTAAAGCAGTTGTGAAGCATTTCTGGCTGTTTTGGGCTCTCTTGCATTAGATGACATTCTCCACCTTTCAGCAAGTGTTTTACCTGGCTCAGAAGCTTTTTGAGAGTGATATGGCCATCCTTGTGAGAGAATCAGGACATCCTGTGGCTCCAGATAGGCTTTACCTCTTTCAAACGGACAAGAGGGCAAGTGCAGGTGACTCTTGGGCTTTCATTTATAAATGGGAAGGATTCCTTAGAGGCAAGTGACAGTTTACTTTTTTATTAGCAGTTTTATTGATATAATTTATATACCCCAAAATTCACCCTTTTAAGTAAGCAATTGAATGTTTCTTAATATATTCACAAAGTTATACAACTCTCACCAGTAGCTAACTCCAGGACATTTTCAGCACTGCAAAATGTTCTGTCCTGGTTGCCTCTTTGTATGTGGGTGATGATCATGGAGGGGGCTGGGACATGGTGATACTTCTCAGCAAAATGGGCTGCATTTGCTTGTCACCTAGTGACAGTCTCATGCCAGCTCAGTTGCCCCTCAACACCTGTCATCCCAGTCACCTGGGCTTGTTAAAACACAGCATGCTGCCCACCTCTTCCTACTTTCTGATTTAGACATTTTGGGGTGAGGCTTGATAATTGGGATTTCTAACAAGGCTGCTATTGCTCACTCAGGCTTTTGAATGTGTTTTTCTCTCTGCCAGGAACCCATGCTCACCTTTACCTGGCTGGTTCTTACTTATCCACCAGATCTGAGTTCAGATTCCAGGAGGAACTCTTTTCTGACATCTGCCCCAAATGAACTTGGAAGCCCTTTCTCCAAGGCCTTATCTTGGTGTTCATCACACTGCATTGTAATTGTTGGTTTATTGTCTCTTTGCCCCACTGGACTGTGAACTCCTAAAGGATCCTATTTTGTGCACTTTCGGTTTCCCAGTGCCTAGCACAGGACCTGGCCCACCATAAGCACGTAGTTACTACTGCCAATCCATTTTCAAATGGAGCTTCCAGGAGAGCCTTAACTCCAGGGTTGTTTGGGTCTGGTATGGGGGCGGAGTGGGAGAGAGATATCAGTAGGACAGTGGGAACAAAGCCAAAGCCCTCTTTTTTCGACATCTTCTGGATTTCTAGGCAAATAAAACTACTTGCGTTCTGTACCATTTATTAATTGCTACAATAATGCTGTGCGCCATACAACCACAAATGACCAAAGTGTGTATTGCTCACAGGCCTGGGGGGGTGAGGTGGTTCTGCTGATCTTGCCTGGGCTTACTGACATACCTGGGGTTTGGCTGACTGTAGGCTGACCTAGATTGGCCTCAGCTGGAACGACTGACTGAGCCATCTTGGGTTTGCACCATGTAGTTTTCATACTGTCCCCCAGAACCTGACCTAGTCGTGTCTTTTTCATGGTGCTGGCAGAGGAGGAAAGTTAGACAGCCCAATTACACGAGCACTTTTTTCTATTTTATTGCAGCACGATATATAATGTAAAATTTATCATTTTAACCATTAGGTATATAGTTCAGTGGTGTTAAATACAGCCATAATGGGCTCGGCGCCTATAGCTCAACCGGCTAAGGCACCAGCCACGTACACCTAAGGTGGCGGGTTCAAATCCCCAGCCCGGACCCGCCAAACAACAAT